AACAAGAAATCTTTTAAATTACTCGTACTGAATCAAAAAAATAGCACCCTGTATTACTGTATCGATATAAAATCTGTAAATCCTTTATTTTATGTTGCCGGTATTTATTATAACTGGATAAATAAATAATAATGTGTTAAACCACAACTATACGATATGAAAACACGTTTCCCCGGAATAACCAATAAAAGGCATCTTATCCCACCTTTCACCCGTACCGCATTTAACAAGCAATCATCCTAAAATCGCAATCAAATAAAAACACAGAACTCGCGAAAGCGCGGAAACCGCTCGAACGTACAATAAAAACGAAAATGGCACTGTAATAAAAAGGTTACATAAAAAACAACGGCCTGTATAAAGTTGACGTGGCGGCGAAACGTCAAGCGTCACACGAGCGTCGATGGCGGTACCTAGCACCTGTCACCGAATGCTAATACAAAACGCGTGTTATATACAGAGGCTTAGTGAAACCCATTTTTTGTTTAATTTTCTTACGCACCTTTTAACAATAAGGATATTAGGTTAAATACGGACTATTAGTAGAATACATCCTAGATTTTACAACGCCTTCCTTATCACCAGAAACAGAAAGAGATAGAAAAAAATCGTGCGAGAGAAAGTGGAACAGAAAGGTACCTATATATTTACACATTCAAAAAAAATTTATATTGTCAATCGATATTGTTATCTTATTCACAACCGCTCTTAGGCAAGTTGTGTTCACACCCGAAAGGGTGAAGTCTATAATCTATATATTTTTTTCTAAATAAGTTCAATGGTTATGTAGATTTTATCCAGTTGTGTGAACATAATAAATAGAAAAAGTAGGACAAATATTATGTAGTATATTATTGTTACAAAATCGAAGAAATTCGTTTGTATGTGGGCGTATTAACTCATAGCTTCCAGGGTACATACACATCACAAGGTAATCTGCGGGAGGAGTTCGGAGAAAACGGATTTAGTTATTCTAGCTGTCATTTAATATAAGATGTTTGACAACGACGTGAATTGCGTCAACGAGATTTTCAAGGAAATCTTCCATATGTAGAAATTATTATCCGGGCCGGTTTTGCTCTTGGCACAGCCCGTTGGGTTTATCGCCAAATCTTCCCTGTGGGTCGTGATTAGGTGTTAGCAAACTTTTCCCCTCCTAGCCCTTCTTGGGTTCGTCGGCCCATCCTAGTCCGGACAAATTGTCTTTGCAAAAAAAAACGAACCGTTGGTCTGCTAAGCTATGACGCCTAGCTGGTGGAAAGTGACCTCAAGCAAGATTTTATTTAAAATATACTTTGGAAGATATCTTCTGCAAAGTGTTATCCCCGTGTTTTGTACCGTATGGCCCTTATTTATCACTACCCCAGCTAACGCTGAAGCAGAGGCCATCCATATCTTGTAACTACGTGTTCTAAGAGATCATTTCTAGCACCCACCATGCGGCTCTGATGAGCTCGACAAGGTAAGGACCCTATTTAGGGTCCGATTTCCAGAATCTACGGTCTAGATGTGCTTATTTTTATCTGTCTAGCACGAATATGTGTATGTTTTCAATCCCCATTTCATTATAGATAATCTTCGCTTACAATTATTCTGTGAGGATATTTGGCAGAAACAAATGACGTCTATTTTTTATGAATATAAATCGGGATAAGACAATTACGATATGAATTATGCTCGTCCATATGAAATTCCAGTCTAACTGTTTTGAAGAAGCCTTCGCTCGATGCCTGTAATTGGCCTAGTAGTGATATCTCGGACTACTACCTGAGTCAAGACTAGCAATTTAATGAACTAATGGTGGTAGGACCTCTTGTGGGTCCGCACGGGTAGGTACCACCACCCCACCTATTTCTGCCGTGAAGCAGTAATCCGTGTCGGTTTGAAGGGTGGGTCAGCCGTTGTAACATTACTGAGACCTTAGAACTCATATCTCAAGGTGGGTAGCGCATTTACGTTGTAGATGTCTATGTGCTCCAGTAACTGCTTAACGTTAGGTCGGCTGTGAGTTCGTCCAACAAATTAAGCAATAAAAAAAATTATCATCTTATTCGCCAGTCGTCGAAGAGGGATACAGAGCTATTCCTTCTATAGACTCACTGCAGCACTGTTCTTCTAGGTCTACTGTGAATAGCTTGTATAATGTGGATATGGAATCTATTATATTAAATCATTCAAACATTTAATTTTTACTACATCGTATGTTAAAAAAAAATGCCCAGTACTATCTGATATATCCCGTCTGATAGCCAAAAAATTCACTCGAATTTATTTGCTTTTTACAAAAATTCAATTATACTTTTGTTCACAAAAGAATATAAGACAAAAAAGGGATTTGCAAGCCTGTACTAATAATGTTTTTTCTGGAGTATTAAATATATCTCATAAATAACAGCTTAATCGAGCTTAACGAATGTTTATAGAGCGATATTTAAGCATTTTTCGAAGCTTTTGCATCGGCCTATAAGTAGAGCTTTGGGTGTTTACTGTAAATATTGTTTACATGTAAATGTTGATTTCATTTATTTTGTTGCTTTATAGCAGACGAATTCTAAAGCTTAAATGACCTTAAGCTTTGCCTATTTCTAGAACGAAGCACTAGAGTTTTCCGGTTTGAACGATAGGACAGAAGTTGTTAATACATTACTAGTTGTGCAATTGAGATTTTATTTATTTATTGCTTAGATGGATGGACGAGCTCACAGCCCACATGGTCTTAAGTGGTTACTGGAGCCCATAGACATTTACGACGTAAGTGCGCCACCCACCTTGAGATATAATTTCTAAGGTCTCGAGTATAGTTACAACGGCTACCCCACCCTTCAAACCGAAACGCATTACTGCTTCACGGCAGAAATAGGCAGGGCGGTGGTACCTACCCGCGCGAACTCACAACAGGTCCTACCACCAGTAATTATGCAAATTATAATTTTGCGGGTTTCATTTTTATTACACGACGTTATTCCTTCACCGTGGAAATCAATCGTGATTCGTGAATCGTCAATTCGAACACCGGTGCACCGCTCAGCACGAATGCACCGGACGTCTTATCCGTTAGGCCACGACGACTCTGATTTCAGATTCTGATTTCTACTTATGACCAGCCTATCCCACAGTTAAAGTATTCATTTTAATGTAACAGCTGCTTCACTCCTCAAACCAGAATAGATTCTTGGTAAAAATAAACAGGATGATGGCATCTGTCTATACGTGCTTCCAGTACCCCCTATTCCAGTTTCTCGGTAGCAAAAACAACAGTTTTTTTGATGAGAACTGATATAACGCTAAAACCGTATGCTTGCATGGCCGTCTAAATTAGTCGGAAACCCAGTGGTGCGACGTCACAAAATGATTAATTAACAAGCTCAAATTTATAGTACAGAGCGCAGGAATTGTTCGAGATGATACCGGCATCTCGTTTTTACCATCGCACCGCCCGCCACCGGAGTAGAGTTCATCCGTACTACCTGGAGCCACTGCGGTCATCCACAGTGCGTTTCCAGAGATCTTTTTTGCCACGTACCATCCGGCTATGGAATGAGCTCCCCTCCACGGTGTTTCCCGAGCGCTATGACATGTCCTTCTTCAAACGAGGCTTGTGGAGAGTATTAAGCNGCGGTAGGCAGCGGCTTGGCTCTGCCCCTGGCATTGCTGAAGTCCATGGGCGACGGTAACCACTCACCATCAGCTGGGCCGTATGCTCGTCTGCCTACAAGGGAAAAAAAAAAAAAAAAGATAATCTCAGCTGATTTGCTCAGAAACTGAATGCCAACAAAGTTAATAAGATATGAATTATAAACCGTCTACTTTAATGAAACTTGTATTAATAATGAGAAATTTCAAGTTTTTTTGATTTCTGATGTGTTTTTCAAAAGTTTCGCGAGAACAGTATGGGTTCAGTATTTTTATAACGTCACGGGTTCGGAACGATAACTTTGTGTACTGATGCGTACTGATGCCATGTACTGATGACTGGGATCGGTATAATAATAATAATAATATGTATGTATAGATTTTTATAATGAAACCAATGAGATTCGTGATAAAAAACAGAACATAATTGAATTGGAGGAATTATAATATTATTGGAGGTCTAGTTTGATCGATTAACAATAAGTATAAGCTTATTTAAAATAACATAAGTCCAGAAGCGGTGAGTTTGATGCGCTTCGGTTTGGATGATGGAGCAGCCAGTGGTACTTAAAAACTGAGACCTAGGTAAAAACGGAGGTAAGACTGAGGTAAAAACTGAGGCTTGATGTGATTGATGTCTATTGGCTTCGGCGACCACTTTACACTAAGTTAATGAGTACTTGACACTTTACACTTTTACTGGTGGTAGGACCTCTTGTGAGGCCGCGCGGGTATGTACCACCGCCCTGCCTATTTCTGTCGTGAAGCAGTTATGTGTTTCGGCTCGAAGGGTGGGGTAGCCGTTGTAACTATACTTGAGACCTTAGAACTTATATCTCAAGGTGGGTGGCGCATTTACGTCGTATATGTCTATGAACTCCAGTAATCACTTAACATCAGGTGGGCTGTGAGGAGGTCCACCCATCTAAGCAAAAAAAAAGTTGGGCTCGTCCACCCTATTAGCAAAAAAAAAGATGTGTGGTGTCGTGGGACACCGGATAAGAACGAAGTTCCTTATTATAAAAATATTAATTTTAAGTTCTATTCGAGGTATAAAGAAAATAAAACTGGAGGTTTCGCAACATCCCACGGTCATTCGATAACGTACGAACTTATTTTGGTACACTTCATTCACGGTTGTTTGCATAAGAGTTAGTGTATTGCGCAAACGAACGCTCTGAGATCGTGGTCAATGAATGATAAAAAAATATGTATTTTTTTACGTTATTACAAAGTTAACTCGTACACTGTGTGCATTACTAATAAAAATCTTACGTTACGGACGTTTTTTCCCGGTTAGGGTACCCCTCCGCGTCGTCCCATAAGGAACTTCGTTCCAAAAGAACCACTTTTTTAGGTTAGCCTACCTTTCAGGGCCATGGTGGGTAACAAAGCCAGGGCCTGCAGCATCGACCAGAAGCACGTCCTCTCGATCCTCATCACGGATACATTAACTATTCACAAAGTATCACCACGAACCGTACGATTCACATAGCACTCGCCCGGTCTCCCATTTAAGGGCTCATTAATTTCCCGGGTGAAACTCATTTATTCCTTGGCCTTTCATTTATTTTATAACACTCGAGAGATTAATTTAATGTTTTTTTATTTACCTATAACACACAGTAAATGTAATATTTTGAGCGGAGCAATTTAATTATTTTTTTACCTACTTCAAAAAAGGAAGATTCTTGTATTGTGAACAGTTTTCTTTTGATTGTTTGAAAGCTGATGCTTCTTATGTGTTCCCATTCAAATTCAGTAAACAAGATCTGACTAGTAATTTTTAAGTTATTTTTAATAATGCATTTCTGTCTTCGACTGCATTGATAATTTACTTGAAATTGTTTATTTATAAATTGTATTGTATTTTTATTATTAATAACTACAGTGCTTAAAAACTTCATATAAAAGCTAAAATGTACTTTACAGTACTATGTAATCACAAGTTATACACACTGATTTAGACTTGAGGTTTGAGCTTTCCAAACAAGCTCCAAATGCTACACTTAAACAAACAGTAAAAGTTTATTAATTAATTCATTCGCAACTTTCAAAAGTCAACATAATCTCACTCAAATTTGTATTTGTTTTATACGAAGTTCAATGTGAAAATTTGCCATTTCATATATTTCTATTCGTATATATAAATATATTTGTGAAATTAATTTCGAGAACAGAAGATTTGATTCTGAATCTGGAACTGTGTGAGATATCTTTATATTTATTATACTTTAAATTGATTCTCTGACGTTTTAGTTATTTGGTGTATGAAAAGCAGATTGATGATATTTTTGAACGAATATTTTTAGATACGTATTTTTCTTATCAGAATAATAAAGTCTTAACGAATTTTCTCATACAACGAACGTTTTTGTCTATTGATAACATTATATCAATACTTCTTCTTCTATATAACAAATATTTCTTCTATAAAGAAAGATACGTTTGGTAGACTACAATATTGACGGTAGATTGATGAATTGTAATAAAATTAAACAAAACATTTTTCATTTTAAATCTTTGTTTAAATGAATACCGTAAACATAGTTAAAATATGTAATTTTCATCTAAATAGCTTTCGTTACTGCAAGACATTAATCTTCTAACCAATTACCGGATTTTATCAACAAACGCTTTGCTGTGCTCCAAACATAATTATGAACCCTCATTGTTTTCCAGAATATTAGAGAAATTCCATTGTAAGACTAAGATAAATAGCCTTCAGGAATTTTATAATATATATCTACGTTCCAAGTAATAAATCAAACGGTATTCCTGTACCAAAAAATCCTTTCGTAAGGCTACCGAGATGTTTAAGAAAATTCTGTTTATCTTCGACAATAAAACTAGTCACTACAACTAATATTATACACAATTCACGAATATTAAAAATATTACACCAAAATTAGTAGTTAATTTAGTTTGCATTTATACACATAGATCGCAACAAGTCGCGTATCAAGCCGTAGGAGAGCGTACTGATACGCGTCCGCTTCGTATCGCGTCCCGTAGCACACTGAGCCGCGTAGTCTCGTAGCGCACACAGCTACGCCGTAGACACAGCTACAATTCACATGAAAAGTTTACGCTCCACCGTTTAAACCTTGCGCCTTTTGCATGAATAGGATACGAATGTATGTTTTTTCCGGAGTTTCATTTACGAAACAAAGGCCGTTTGGATTTCCTCGTCTCATTTATGAAACATAGGCGTTTAAATGGCTGCTGGTCTCGCGGTGCTCATTTCATTTCATTACACCTCATTTACACGCTAAAATAACGGTTTACGGGCCGATTTTAATAAGTATATTAAGTTTAACATTAATTTAATGCAGAACCGTGCAATAAGTGTGCTTAAACATTTGCATGTTTGCAGCGTTTGGCGTTTTTGTGCTTTCACGATTAGCACATACCAAAGCCAGTTTGCTAACGTACAGTTAAAAGTCAATACGGACTCGTTCTTGATTTCATTGACGGATTAACTGATAATATACATCAGAACAGTACCTCCACTCACGTAGGCACATGAGATCAAAGACTCTTTAAAACATTTTTTTTTACTATAGTTGAGTTTTGCTAGTGTCCCGTTCTTGAAACTAAGTGCTTGATTTTTCCGCGACAAATTTTTTGGATGGTATTGTGATTTATGCTAAAGTGTAGCCAAGCCATTAAAATAGTAGATAAATGGATAGATAAATAGATTTTAAAAACCACTGCTCGAACAATCTCTCTCGGTACGAGCGAACCGGCTATTTGTGCCATTATCCACGGATTTCTAAAAAGCCAGCTCACCTACCAACATCACTACATAGTATAAAACAAAGTCGCTTTCTCTGTCCCTATATCCCTATGTATGCTTAAATCTTTAAATCTTGAAAACTACGCAACGGATTTTGATGCGTTTTTTTTTAATAGATAGAGTAATTGAAGAGGAAGGTTTACATGTATAATAACATCCATTAAGTAGTGGAGAAATACTGTTATTTTTGAGGTTTCTAATGTGATGTCGTAAATAATCAATAATAAAATTTAATGTTTCCGAAGCGAAGCAAGGGCGGGTCGCTAGTAATCCAATAAAAACAAAATACAATCTATCGTCGTATAATCCAAAACCATAATATTAAATATTATAATGAATCAGATAGTTAATAATAATAATAATAATAATAATAATAAGCCATTTATTTCTTGCTTTTACAAAGTTTAAAAATAATAATAAATATAAATGTATGTATTAGTATTTAGGATGTAAAAGAGAGTTTTGTAATGAAACAGTAAAATTTAGTAAGCAAGAACCCCGGATCGGGTAAAGGCCTCCTCCAAAAATGCCCAAGCGTCTCTATCCTGTGCTACGTCTATCCAGTTTGGGCCAGCTGTTCGTCTAAGATCGTCTTCCCATCTGGTTAGTGGTCTCCCTCGACTTCTCTTGCCCGTTGGGCCGCTCCAAGAAGATAGTTACCAAAACAAATAGATTATTAAACGCAAATCAAATAATCGTGTACTGTATCCATGTTTTCTTTGAATGCTTTTTAAATGTCATATTCGGTTAGTGAACCTTTTACCTTGACTTGTTGGCTTTTGGTTGAAGAATTGTGAACATAACCCCGGTATAAATAAAAAGAACGCGCTACTGTTAAAAACTGAGACGCTACCCGGATAAAAATCTGTTACGCATTTCTTATTCTATTTTTAGTGTGATTAAAGAATATAATTTACGGTGCTGAGATGAATTTGGATGCGGATGAACAATTTTCAAATCTTAGGATTAATATGTGAGTTAGTTTACATAGAAAATCTGTGTGAAAATTACAAAAAAGATTACAGTATGTAAAGTTATTAAAATGGCGCTGTCTTTTGAGGTTATGAAAATTCATATTAAATAGAAAATAAAGCCAATATGTACTACTAATAATTTATTCAGTGTCAGTACAAAATATATAATTTGATGTATAAAACACCTAAACCACAATGATCAAATGATAAAAAAGGTCAAGTCGCCTTCCTTTCTTTCGACAAAATGTTCGACAAATGAATTAGTAATGTCCACTTTTGACATTCAATGTGTTTTTGTCGTATCATCCAATTATTATTGAAATGTCAAAAGTAAGTGGTAAGTTTGTTTATTTCGATTAAAGGATTCGAATCAAAAAACGCTTATGAAGGATATTATGTGTTAATTTTTATTTCATGTATCTTCTTTTCATACTTTGGCTATTGAGTTTTTTTTTTGTAATCATGAAGCCATTACTAATGTTGTGGGTTTCTGTATTCTAACGTACTATAGTTATTAGAGATAATTTTGTGTCTATAGCCGTTTCATGTTAGAATAGCTATTGAGATTTTGAACATGTATCTGAAACTGAGTTGACAGTCGTGCCCAAACATAATGACCACCATAACTATAAGATCATCTCTCACAGCAGTCCATACTTCGCTTTTCATTTTTTAGCTTATACAGTACTGTATTCATCTATTTTTTCCTCTACTTATTCGCTGGTAACCTAAGAGGCTATTTCAGCTACGCTCGGACGGATAGGTGAGCTCACGGGCTCGGCCTGAGAGAATTTGCTAACACTAGCCCAAGCAAGAGCAGTGCTTCACAGAATCTANTATAAGATCATCTCTCACAGCAGTCCATACTTCGCTTTTCATTTTTTAGCTTATACAGTACTGTATTCATCTATTTTTTCCTCTACTTATTCGCTGGTAACCTAAGAGGCTATTTCAGCTACGCTCGGACGGATAGGTGAGCTCACGGGCTCGGCCTGAGAGAATTTGCTAACACTAGCCCAAGCAAGAGCAGTGCTTCACAGAATCTACCACCAGATCGGAATCGCGACCCACTGAGAAGATCCGGCGAGAAACTCAGTGGATTGTGTTTATGGGTTAGTTCGCTCGCCGAACTCTTCGTCATAATCGACGAGTCCGACGAGGAACTGTATTGATACATCACATCGGACTAGAGACCATACTATATAAAACCACTGCATTTATCCACAGTGCATTTGCAAATATCTTTTTGGCGGACCATTCGGCTTTGGAATGAGTTCCCCTCTACATACTTCGGGAGCGCTATGACCTGTTCTTCTTCAAATGAGGCTTGCGGAGAGTAATTAACGGTAGGCAGCGGCTTGGCTTTGAGCTTGCATTTCTAACATCCATGAGCAACCGTAAGCAATCCCCACCAGGTGGGCTGTATACTTGTCTGCTTACAAGGGCACTAATTTTTTTTTAATAAATGTAGAAGAAATAAAACAAACTTTTTAGACAACCAGGTTTTTTTTGTATATAAAGTAACTCTACTTATATGTAATCATAATTATTCGATTTTACTAGATACAGATATTTTTTTAGTGTAAGTACCGCTGTTTGGACAGGCAATGGCTGTCCCAGGGTAAAATACCGCAATTAATTTTGGGTACGTTCCGTCACAAAAAAGACAGAAGCATTAGTGAAATGTTAAACAGATATTAATTATTTGTGTGAAGCATACACGACCAAGTGATATGGTATGAAGCGGATTGGCCTCTGATATTGTTGGCGTCCGTGAATAACGGT